CCCCGGACCACTCTGGTAGCCTAGGAATAAAGAGATTAATTCAATCGTGAATTAATTGAATTTAGTCGAAATTAATTGAGGGGTTTAGAATAACATTTTTAAAAGAAAAGTACTTCCGAATTGCAAAAAGAGTTTTGAATTTCAACAAAAATTGCGAAAARAAATTGTGAATTAAAATACTGGGAAAAAGAATTAATTAGAATTATTTTTGAATTTCCAAAAGAAATATCAAAAACGAATTTAATTAATTCTAACGTATTTTCAAAAWTTTCGAAAAAAATAAAATAAAAATWAAAATTAAGTAGAAATGTTTTTGAAAAAGAAAYGTTGAAAAAGAAATGTCAAAAAAGAGTTAATTCTAAAATATTTTTGAATTACAAAATTTCAAAAAAGAATGCATTAAATTAAATTTGTTTTCAAATTGCGAAGAAGAAATGCCGGGAAAGAAATGAAAGAAATGATTAATCCTATGTATTTCGAAAATTTCGAAAAAGAAAATACGTTTGAGAAAGAAATGAGTATTTTCGAATGTACAAAAAAAAAGAGAATTTAAAATGGATTCTAGAAATGAATAAAATGAATTTTGATGTAAATCGAGGGCGGAGCGATCTATCTGCTATTGATTGGGTGGTAACGTGGTAGGTAGGGCACGGGTAGATTGATGATGATGATGGTGATGATGGTAAGGTGGGGGAAATCGATCCTAACCTAGGCTACCAGAGKGTCCCGGGGTCACTTGCCCGGCCGGGCCAAAAAGATAAAAAWAWATATATATTTTTWAAAATTTTATTTTATATTTTAAATTTGGTAAAGAATTTCGATGTGAKYCTGAGGCAAAAGTTGTTTAGTTTATTTTTCTACATAACATAGTATTTTTTCAGAKTTTTTGGATTTTTTTTKTTTTTTGCTGGGACCTTCCCTTGTCCTTGCACGGGCTGGTAACCCGGGGCCCGGGCGGCCCGGCTGGTAGCCTAGTTCCTAACTAGATTGTTGATAGACGGGGGGGTGGGATCTACGGGTGGGGGAAGTATGGGATTGGTAGCGGGAACGGGAGCGGGAGTGGGGTTGAGTG